CGAATCAAGAATTAGAAGGTTGGTAGGGATTCTATCATTGGAAATGGTACTTATTATTGTAGCGGAATTGGATCACAACCAGAGCTCTTGATGCCAAATGTTGGAACACACAAATCAATTAAGGTGAATTAATGAAGAATTAGGGTAATTTAGAGAAGATGAAGTTAAGAATTGAGAGAGAGAAATAGAGAGAGAGAGAGAGAGAGAGAGAGAGAGAGAGAGAGAGAGAGAGAGAGTGTAATTGAGGGTGAGAATGAAAATTAGTATTAACAATAATTGAGAGCACTAAAGGCCTTATATACATCAGTTACAAAATAATGGGCAGAGCAAAACAACTTAAAAATAAGCTGAAAACTGAAAAACCTACAGTGGTAACCAGTTACCATAATCTGGGTAACCGGTTACACCCAGTTGAAAACGCCACTGCCTCTAAATAACGACCATGTAACCAGTTACCATAAACAGGGTAACCGGTTACACCAACAGAAATGGCAGAAAACAACTTTTCAACATGTTGAAGTACCCCTAGTACTCCCTGTTGAATATATTTGGTTATAAAAAAAAACAAAAGGTGTCTCTATAAATGGTGGATCATCGCTAGATCGATGAAATAACATTACATGAATGATCTCTAGTTGAATAGTGATGAAAGAATATTAAAAATTAATTTAGTGGAAATTTATAATCAAAACATTAATTTATGGGAATATTTTTATCACAACCTATAATTTAAATCGAATGGTCACTATTAAATTCTCACATTCTCATATAACTTATTCATTCTTGTGTTGATTCTTAACCATTCAACATTATGTTTCGTACAAAATTGTAGGTCTTACTACAATCCAATTAAACTTTCCCTTCAACTTAAATGGTAGCTTTGTATCACATAAAATACCTGATGTCCTTCTCTACTTCAACCACCAACTTGAATTCGATTGTTTACATCCCCTTATATTTCTCCATCATTTTGTATACAATTTCAATATATTTAACACCTACATACCGTAGTGGCCTCCAATACTTTCCCTATACAAAAAGCAATGAGATGATATGTACAAGCCGTAAAACCTGCTACAAGTCGTAGCAACCCCAATAGTTGGTTACATATTCCATTGTCTAAAACACTTTTCTCCTATCTCTTCTCATTCCAACTATTTTATTTTATAGTTGAAGGTCAATAATGTTAATTGAATGTTGTAATCATTTGTGAGTGCCTATAAATGGCCAGAATTTGGAGAGAAACGAGCGCACTTTAGATTTCAATTTTTAATTTGTATTTTGTTCCTTGCATGTTGTTTCCAAAACTATATTATTCTTGTTGTACGGATCAAGTGTCCATCAAAGAATTTTAATTCAAATATTTTTTTCTTTATTCATGTTCTAAATCTAATTACTGTTATTATTATTTCTATTATTATGTGTTATTATTTATGTTCTTATGTATGCTATGCATGCTTTTGATACATTATCAGTTATTATATTTGAGTAGTCTCCTAGGGACTAAGGGTCGTGAGAAATTTCTTGTGACATACCTCATGTGAAATCTTTGTTGTTCTATTACGAGAAACAAAACTTAAATTATTTTAGAACTCAAATATTTTCACTTAGATGTCTTTACGATTGTGAAGACATTTTGGATACTGATTACATGTTGAAAGGGTGTGTTTCAGTATCTAAATGCAAAAATACAAGAAATTGAGCTCGAGGCAATGAAAGTGTCTCAAACTCAATTGAGAAAACCTCATTTTTAATAGTTGCGCAAAAATCAATCTTAAAATAATCAACTATGCCGATAAAAGTGGATAGATTATTTCTTTAAAACAAGACAACATGCTAACAAAAGTAGGTATTGTCCAATTTCTCTATTTTTCTAAAATTCGTTCGAATCTCGTATTAGATGAAAAAGTTCATATGAATCTGTTCAAATATAACGCATGTACCCCAGGTCTTGTTTTAAGCACCATGTCTTCTAAAAACAAAAATATAATCTCATACTAAGTTACAATCGCTTTAGCTAAACGCATATAAAATAGAAATCAGTACTTAGAGAATTTGTCTTTGTATGAACGATAATATTTTATATTACTTCGGCATTTCCATATGCTTGCGGCGTATCATCTTCAAAATGTTAGCATGAAACACAGTAAAGGGGACTATTATTCCCATATAATCGATAACCCTTGTATACATGTAAAAGTTGTTTTCCCCGCTCTCCGGGTAATCCCTAGACAAGCTTTCTTGCCATTATTATAGAGCTCTAATAGAACATCATGTTTTTCTTTGGTGGTCGGGTATGTATAAGCCTTAATGAAACAAATCACCCAAGCTTCATTATTAAAGACCTAGTTAATGCTCTCGAGTTTGCCACCGAAGCAAAATGTGTTTATGGTAGAGGTTTTTATCAATGATCTCACCTGTTGGGTAAGAAAAAGGGGAAAATAATGTCATTATCATTGTTCTCATTATAATTAGATCTAATAGAACTATTGTCATAACTCCAAAAAAATCCTTATCTCAACAAGCTTCCAATCAACCTCTCCATTGTGTCGCATCAATTTCTTTAAACAATGACTCCACATCCTACATTTCTCCTCACATGTTTTAGGTTCGACTGAATCATTGCTCATATCACACTCTCTAATAAACACCATCACATAGATGCTAAAAGGAAAAATATATAAGAGAATCATAATGAAATATCAGCCATGAAACTTTATTGGGTGAAATGTTGATTCAAGAACTGGTAGAAAAACTTAATATCTAAAGGACGAAGAAAGTTGATTGAGTAGGCGATGGAAAATTGAAGGGATTGAGTCAAACATTTATAAGAGGAATCTATCCTCTGGACGAAGTAGTCGTCAATAGGAACATAACCACCCTTACTATTATAGAGTGTTAAGAGCCTTGACTACAAGCATGCAACCAACGGGTGGTCTAGATTAGTTAATAATTCCTAAGACATTTTTAATCATTCACAAGGCTAACTACACATTTAATTCTAGAACTTAACTGTTAGTCTAAACAAGATTATCATTGGTACCTTTTCAGATACCATAGTCAAGCTTGAACCTACTCGACACCGTCATCGAACACACCCTCTCACTAAATTACTTCACCTTTACATGCCTCATTCTTGAGAGACTCTGAATCATTGTGTCTTTACTTTACCATTTAGCCCTTACTAGTCTCGTGTTAGAGGGTATGTGAACCATCATTTCTTTACTTAATCAGTTTGTTCTTACAAGCCTCGTGCTTGAGGGATTTTAAATCGTAATATCATAAATCAAGCCTAGCGAAGGCCAACGTTCTTAATCCCTTAAGTGTCTAACTCGTAAGTAACACAATGGGTATTCAAATAAAGAGGGCAGAAGTCATGTGACAGACACGTGGGTGAGCTCGCCCCATCTCTTTTTATGTCGTGTCTCGTAAGAGTAACATGTCAAGACACGTTTTAAGTGAATTAACGAGGTTCTCTTTGTCTATAACAAAAATATTCCATGTATATTGGGTTAATTACACCTCTTATATTAAAGGAATGACTCACCACATTCACTCTAGTATTCAGGACCGTCTTTGAAGGCGTGCAAGGCAGGTTACCGCACATGACCTAAAATTAGTCATAGTTAAAACGTCGCTTAAGAGTGCCTCATAACATATTTGTCACAGTTCTGTTGTGGCAAAATAGGATCTCTATTTATTTTGCAACAACTGAATAATATTTAACTTACACAAGACCTCCAAAATTTTAAAACGACTTTGCCACTATTGAGTCAAGGTCAGAGAACATGTGACTAGTTTTATATGCGCTAAAACTGATCTCCCTCAAACAAGGATAAAATTTATAAAGACCTAATTAACATATTGATTTATATTCATTTTTTTACGTATTAGAATCTAAAAGTATTTTTGAGCTCTTTATTGAAAGCAACTAGTAATATTTGTTATACTCACATCAAGTGCATTAAGTATCACTCAAACTCACTTATATAAATCTAAAATTTCTAATTTGTAATCTCAATAAAAATACATATGATACAAATATCAATATTGTTAGTCAAATTAGAAGTTAGACACTTCGGTTGTATATATATATGTTTTTTAGATGAGTTTTGGTGCCTTTAAGAATCAAATACACCATATGATATTAGTTAATTCTTATAAAAAGAAGAAAAAGAAGATAAGATGAGAGAGAACATTTCATTAAGAGTGATTAACACACAAGGTTGGCGCGGCCATGCTCTATTTTTTCTCGGTCTTCTTGTAAAAGTGATTGCGTACTACTAATAAGAGGCGGGCGTCATGCAATGTGACGAAATATTCGGCAGGTGGACAAACATGTTTGTTACGGATACCAACTTTAATATACTATCTCAACTTGTTGCGCTTTTACCCTCCTTCTACGAATATCTTCTCTAGACTACGAGTCCTTCATATTTTATAATTTTTCCTCTCTCAACTCGTCAATGATTTTTACTATTTTCTCTATATTCAACAATATAATTGTTCTATTTTCCATATATCTAAGTCAAACATGTATGAATAAAGCCTCCTTACAAAGATAATGATTGAAAAACCAGGTCTAATGTAAACCGCTGGAAGGAAAATACCTCCACCCCACCACTAAAACCAAAGTGATACAAAACAATAAAACCTAACTACTTTATATTCATTTATTTAAAGTTAACTCAACTAATTACATTAAAATAGTTAATTAATCAGGAACACTTTTTACAAAGATATTCTTCTCCTTTTAAAATTCAACTTGTCTAAAATCTATGCTTTATCAATTTCCATACATTTTCTTCACCTAACTATCTCTATGGCGCACATGAATATTCAACTTGTCAAATCCATTCTCCATGTTTTCTCCTTCTTAGTCATGTAACACGTTTCAACTTTGATACTTCTTCTCCTTTTCATATTTGACCATTAATATTGTCAACAAAAAATAATACAAACTGTATACTATTGTATTCTGTGCGATCAATCTCAAGAACATGGGCATGATCATAGGATTCAATGTTTCATTTTTAATGTTGTTGTCGTTCCTATGTTTTTATCCTTTGTTTTTGCATGCTGCATACTCCATTACACAGAATGAATCTATCAAAGATGGTTCTACTTTGGTGTCAGAAGGTCTCAAGTTCGAAATGGGTTTCTTCAGTTTTGACAACTCTTCCAGATACGTTGGAATTTGGTATTACAACGTTCCAGTTTCATCATACGTGTGGGTTGCAAACAGAGAAAATCCCATCAAAAACAGACAAGGTTCTATAACAATGAAAAATGATGGTAACTTGGTTGTTCTTGATGGAGAGAACAACGAGGTTTGGTCTAGTAATATATCAGTTTCTATTAAAAACTCACAAGCTGTTCTTCGTAATGATGGAAACCTTGTTGTTTTAGATGGAGAAACTAACAAAGAGATTTGGCAAACCTTTGAAGATCCAACTGATACATATCTTCCAGGTATGAAAGTTCCGGCGGGTAGTGGAGGTGGAATCGGGAAGGATCCTACCTTTCGTGCATGGAAATCAGACAAGGATCCTTCATTCGGAGACTACACGATGAGTGTGGATTCGGAAGCATCACCGCAGATAGTGATTATGGAAGGAGAGAAAAGAAGGTGGAGAACTGGTTATTGGGATGGTAGAGTTTTCTCAGGTGTGCCAAATATGACAGGAAGTTATCTTTTTGGTTTTAGGCTTAACACGGACGATAAAGGCGAAAGGTATTTTGTTTATGAAGCATTGAATAGTAGTGATAAGATAAGGTTTCAGATTAGTTATGATGGATTTGAGAGACAATTCAGGTGGAATGAAGATGAAAAAGAATGGAATGTGATACAAAGTTTGCCTTACAAGAAGTGTGAGTTTTATAATTCATGTGGTAGTTTTGCAATATGTGATGAATCTGATTCAGTTTTGTGTAAGTGCGTAAAAGGGTTTGAGCCAAAGGATATGATAAGTTGGAAGAATGGAAATTGGTCAAAAGGGTGTAAGAGGAGGAATCCGCTGAATGGTGAGAGAAGTAGTACTAATAGTTCTGTTGGAGAAGATGGTTTTTTGGTGCAAAGGGGTTTGAAGTGGCCTGATTTCGCACATTTGATTAATGTTGTAGATAGCAAGGGCTGCGAAAGAAATTGTCTGCAGAATAGTTCTTGTACCGCATACGTAAACGCTATTGGAATTGGGTGTATGGTTTGGTTTGGAGAGTTGGTTGATGTTCAAAGGCTAGAAAATTATGGAAATACACTCAATATTCGTCTTGCCGATATTGATTTAGGTAAAGGAAAAAAATCATCATTTGTCCTTATTTCCATGTATTAGTTTCTCAATTTTGATGTGAGGTTGTAATCACGATAAATTTTTATGTCGAAAAACACAGATGACGGGAAGAAAAAGACCAAGATTTGGATAGTATTAGGTGTTGTAATCGGGCTTATCTGCCTTGGAATCTTTACATGGCTGCTATGGAGATTTAAGGGAAAACTCAAAGGTATTTGTTTTTGTCTTCGAGGAATTACATACTGTTTTTCAAAGTTTACTTGCATGAGTATAACTATATTCCTTTCTATTTTTCCAACAGTCTCTTCAACTTCTTCTCCCAACAGAAACATTGGTAATGTGACAGTTTCTGAACCATCCAAGAGTACAAACTTATTACTACCAGTAGAATTTTCAGGATCCGTTGATCTTAATTCGGAAGGGAATCCTCTAAGTAACGCAGAACTTTCATTCTTCACTTTTAGTAGCATTGTCATAGCAACAAACAATTTCTCAGACGAAAATAAGCTTGGACAAGGAGGATTCGGTCCTGTCTACAAGGTAAAATATGTAACTGTTAATATGATTGTAATGTAATAGAGAGCCAAAACATATTTGAAGTACTTTTATTCCGTTTATCAGGGAAAGCTTCCAGGGGGAGAAGAAATCGCGGTAAAGAGGCTTTCAAGACGGTCTAGCCAAGGTTTAGATGAGTTCAAGAATGAGATGATGCTAATAGCCAAATTACAACATAGAAATCTTGTTAGACTATTAGGATGTTCAGTTCTAGAGGAAGAGAAGTTACTGGTATATGAATACATGCCAAACAAAAGTTTGGACTTCTTTTTATTTGGTATGTTTCTTTACATTAAAGTTTTCAGCATTTTCATTTTGATAAGTGTGATACAGAAACTATTGGTGCATTTTCATGGCTGGTTTTTTATGGTTAACGTCGTTGCAGATCCAATCAAGCAAACAAAACTAGATTGGACAAAACGTTCTGAAATCATTGAGGGCATTGCAAGAGGACTACTTTATCTGCACCGTGATTCACGGCTTAGAATAATTCATCGGGATCTAAAAGCAAGCAACATTTTGTTGGACGAAAATATGAATCCAAAAATATCAGATTTTGGTTTGGCAAGGATATTTGGCGGAAACCAAAATGAAGACAATACAGCGAGAGTAGTTGGTACATAGTAAGTATACTATCTTCCTCGGGTACAAAAAACCATCTTTATTCTTTCTAAAACTAGACTAATTTCGATATAACATTATGTGTACGTGTTGCAGTGGTTACATGTCTCCAGAATATGCGATGGAAGGTCTATTTTCTGTTAAATCTGATGTCTATAGTTTTGGCGTATTATTACTAGAGATTGTGAGTGGCCGCAAAAACACTAGCTTTCGCGATTCTTATGATCCAAGTCTCATAGGATATGTGAGTAACACCTACTTTACATTACAATATAATAATTTCAACTCAACTAGCAAGGACAGTTATTTTGAAACAGAGAATAATGTTTTTTTTGTCATGAAATGAATGTAGGCGTGGCGTCTATGGAATGAAGATAAAGTAATAGAGCTTGTTGATCCTTCGATCCGTGAATCGTGTAGAAAGAGTAAAGCTTTGAGATGCATACACATAGGGATGTTATGTGTGCAAGATTCAGCATCTAATAGACCAAACATGTCCTCAGTGGTGTTGATGCTGGAAAGTGAGGCAACAACTCTTCCATTGCCTATTCAACCTTTGTTTACTTCAATGAGGAGATATGATGATACAGAAGAGTTTCATACTGAACCCTTTGTATCCTCAGTTGATCTTACTGTGACAGGGAGATAAACCATACAATTTAGTCCATGTATAATAATAGCATAGCAATACATACATGTCTCATTTGATTATACATTATCATTGAGTGCTCGTTTCATGATGGCATTTCCACTTCACTTTTATTACATTATTTAACTTTTCAAACGAGAGTGGAGGAAACACGTTGGAAGACGGTGACATAGAGGAAAGGGTATTGTAGTGGCAAAAAATCTACTAATAATTTAGGGGTATATTTGTATTGATTGTAATTATTTTTTGTCAGCAACGCCTATGAAGAAGGTCCAATACCAAATGTTGAAGGGAAAGATGTATCAAACAGGTGGACTCGTATTTCTGCCAAAGACATCATGATCACGTCCTTTGTCACATCTCCAACCGTTGATATCTAAGCGAATCACCGTCCGCACAAAGAGCTGAATCACGCATGGACGGTTTTAACAGTCTATACTATATAAAGATCGGATCGTGCCATGTCAGGTATTCAATTTATTACCACTCTCATACCACTTTTTGCCTGATAACTGATTTGAGTGATAAAATACTAATCTTGTAGGTTCACTCTCTCTCTCTCTGTTGTACCGAAAACTTGATCCATGACACTAAAATTTCACTTCACCACTTTACTATACATTTATAGTTCTCTGACGAAACCGTGAGTGGGAATTGTAACACCCTAAGCCCTAACATATATTTTATACAAATGAATGCATAAAATATGAAAATAAAACAAATTAGGACGCCACACATATCTCTCAACATTCAATCTTTAATTCAAAATACGGAATTTACTTTGAAACAATATAATATCATTATTCAAGTAAGCAACTTAGAAACGAAATATGGTATTTCTAATCCAGTGTTACACTATCAGAGCGATAAGAGGAATACTAAATAGCCGACAATGATGTGACAAACATAAAACGGTAAATAAAGCAACGAATAGGCCAACTATGTCATCCTTCACGATTAAGCACAACAACAACTTCTCAGTTTCAACCTGAATATATGCAGAATATACATATAGGGCAACATAGAAACAAGAAGAAAGAGGTGAGAATACATTCCACAAATCAAACAGTGTTAAAACAACAAAAATAGTATAATCATCATATACAATCAAATCACCATCATACAATTAGATAACATTGATAATTATGCATGCAATGTTCATTTATTCATCTCTCATGCATGTGGTATCCATCTCTTGGATATCAGAGGTATGTTATTGATGTATCCAACCCGTCACTGAACCGAATTTCTACTCATTATTGGACCGAAGTCCTACTCGTCACCGGGCCGAAATCTTACCTATCTCTAATGTACATGATGCATGAATAATATAGTTAATGCAAATCGACATCCATAATTCTCCAACTCCAATCCTTGTCACTAGACATAAGTCTTACATGTCACTAGTTCTTTCGAACCTAAACTCATCATCATCAAATAATTTTCGGTGTAAAGCCACGTCACAGCTGATTCTCCTGGACCTAAACATCTAAACACTGATTCTTTCAAACCTAAACATAAATCACATCAACATCGGACTTGCATCCTAACTTTAACAACTTAAATCGTATACATATTTTTAAGATATTAGATCAAAGTCCTAAACATATCCACATCTTATTTCACATAAATATATCATCAAAAAATTGGGCCAATGTCCTAAAAGATTAATAAATTAATTCATATAGTATCTTATCAAAGCAACCCCAAAATCATGTTTCCTACTAGTCATGCATCAGATTCAAATAATTATTTAAAATATTAAACAAAGTCGGAATCAAGTAAATGAATATGTTTCAGAAATCTTAAATAGACTATTTTAAGACTATGGTTTTTCTTTTAGGACTTAAGATCCCAATAGGTACAGTTTAATCAAACAATAGGAACTGATACATGCACCAGACAAAATGTTTCGTAAGACTTGTAACTAGTATTTCTCCTATTGAACTTGGTGGAATAAGATGCTTATTAAGTCTAATATGTATGAAATTTTGTCTATTTACTTATGATATAAGGTTTAATCTTAAAGGACTTGTGTAGAGTGATATATGTCCAAATTACTAACAACATGTCAAATAGTTATGCTGTAAAGTTTTCTAAACATTAACTGAACTTGCAATTCATTTTTCTAACCTTTGCCACAACGAAATCGATTCAGATCGAAGTGTATCTCATGTCAAATCTTATCTAGTTTTTAATGATCTCAATTTCATTCTTAAAATATCTAGGTAACTAAAGTTATGGATACTCCGTCAATAAATATGACCCACCGGCGGGCACCCTTATTCGGTTGATTGGGCAGGGTCATTTCTGCTACGAAGTCAGCTAGTGCTTGTGCCTTGAGGGCCTTTCTGCTCTCGTACTGGATGTCAAAATCGGATAGTTCCAGTAACCATTTGAGCATCCTTCTGGCCATGTCTGGACGGCCTAGTAGTTGTTTTATGGGCTTGTCCATGTGTACCACAATAGTGTAGGCCAGAAAATAGTGTCTCAGTCTCCTCGCAACATTGATAAGGGCGAGGCCATCTTCTCTATCTGTTGATACCACAGCTCTGACCCTTGCAGCGCCTTGCTTGTGAAATAGATGGGTTTCTGCCCGTCAGGGGTTTCGCGGATGAGGACGACGCTTATAGCCTCGGTTGCAACGACGAGGTAAAGAAAAAGGGTTTCCTCATTTTCTGGCCGGGAGAGGATTGGCGGTGCAAATAGAGCTTGCTTCAAGTGGAGGAGAGCTTTGTCACATTCCTCTAACCATTCGAATGCGGCTTCTTTGTAGAGGAGTTTGAAAAAGGGGAGAGCGTGTTGGGCAGATTTGGCCACGAAGCGGGAAAGCGATGCGAGCATCCTGTTGAGGGACTGGATGGACTTTTTTGAGTTCGGCGTGGGAAACTCAGAGAAGGCTTTACACTTATCGAGGTCGGCTTCAATTCCTCGTTCGGTTAGATAGAAGCCAAGGAACTTGCCTGCTCGTACCCCGAACGTACACTTCTCCGAATTGAAGTGCATCTTGTACTTTCTGGCCTGCTCGATGACCTTCCTCAGATGAGCCATGTGATCGGATTTGTCGTGGGACTTCACGATCATGTCGTCCATATAGACTTCAAGCATGTCTCTAATTTCTCCTCGGAAAACTTTGTTCATCATTCTTTGGTAGGTAGCGTCGGCATTCTTCAGGCCGAAGGGCATTACGTTGTAGTAATAGTTGCCCGATTCGGTAATGAAGGTCGTGTACCTCTTATCGCTTTTTGCCATGGGTATCTGGTTGTAGCCTGAATAGGCATCCATGAAAGATAGCAATTTAAAACCGGCAGAATTATCAACTAGTTTATCTATGTTGGGGGAGCAGATATGCGTCTTTAGGGCAGACCCTATTAAGATCGGTATAATCAACACACATGCGTCATTTTCCAATATTCTTTTTAACGAGTACAACATTGGACAGCCAAGTGGTGTACTTGGCCTCCGTATAAAGTTTGCCTTTAAAAGATCTTTTACATCCTATTCGGTAGCCACCATTTTCTCCGGGGATTATCGTCGTCTACGTTGGGCAACTTTTCTGACGGCGGGGTCGATGGTGAGGTGGTGACAGGCCACATTGAGGTCTAACTCGGGCATCTCCGCGCACTCTATGCAAATAGGTCTGCATTATCCTGGAGGCATGCTTTCATTTGTTTCCTCGCTAGCTCGGGGAGACCGACTCCAATCTTTACTCCTTGCTTGGGTTGTCGTCAAGTGGGACAAGCTCGAATTCTCCATCTAGGATGGGGCGCATCGGATGGGCGGCTTCACTGCTACTAGAGGGGATTCTCGAAGATGACTAGATCTATTTCCCTTTTGCCTTCTGAGTCTTCTGGTCATCTTCGGAGAAGCGGCTATCGAGGTCGATGGAATCAATGCGAGGAAGCGGATTTGCCTCGTCGGAGTTGTTGGGCAGAGGAGACTGGGCAGGAGTCTTCGGTCTTGCGGCGATTGCATTTAGTCCCTTGGATGTTGCTTCAAAGCATCAACTCATGACTTCTATGTCTCCGTGTAGAGTTGTGACGAGGCCTTTAGAGGTGTAATATTTCATCTTCAGGTGTACCATTGAAGGTACGACCACCAGCTCGACCAGAGTTGGTCACCCGAAGATGCACTGGTATAGTGACGGACAATCTATAACCAAGAATTGTACCTTGATTGATCTGGTCGTTCCAGCAGATCCGAAGGTTATGATCAGCTCAACATAACCCCAGGGCTTCGTCACCGATCCATTAAAACCCTGTAGGTCAGAGCCCACGTAAAGAGTCAAATGTGGTTCGTCCAGCTGGAGCGTGGAAAACAATTAGGAGTACATAATATTAACGAAGTTGCCTTGGTTGACGAGGATTCATCGAACGTCAAAATTCTCCATCTGAGCCCTTACGAGCATATGAATGCTTGTGTTGGGGGCTCCGCTGAGGAGCTCCTTGCAGTAGAAGCAGATGGGGGCAGACTCTCCCCAGACCCTGTCAAGGGCGGAGTTCCGGTTTGAGCTGTTGCTGATGAGGTGCTCAAATTTCCTCTTGATGGATCCTACCGTGACTCTATTAAAACCTCCTCTGGAAATGACCATGGCGGAGGGAAACGTCTCCCACAAGTTGTGCCTGGAAAAATATGGAGGGGCGTTGAGACCCTCGGGGGTGCAGAAATCTTCAGGCTGTGAGATGCTCATGGCGACCTGGAGACTGACTTCCTCTGAGGGAGGCACTTTTTCTTCGACCTTCTAGGCTTCTTGGGCGTCTGGTCGAAGAGCTTCCTTTCGCTTGGCGAACTTCTTTAGATGCCCGTCCCTGATGAGTATTTCGATGGTATCCTTCAGGTGGATGCAGTCTTCCGTCATATGGCCATGGCTCTTGTGGAACTAGCAGTATTTTGACTTATTGGTGTTAGGTTTGGACGGTATCTGCTTTGGAATCCGGACCCCTGCCTGCCGAAATTCTGAGTTGGCGCACTCATTAAGGATTTTTCCCCTCAAAACTGTC